CTGCATATATATATATATATATATACACATATAATATATTAATCAGATACAATAATTATAAAACAGCTGAAAAATGAATTTTTTTTCATTCTACAATATTTTAGTATATATATTTAAAATTGTTTGCAATATTTTATATGAATTAGAAATTAACCAACTTTGATATGGTATTAATTTCAGGTATGTCATAACTGTTTCTTGTATGTTAGATAATAATATTTTAAAGAAATAATTACTATTTAATGCTAATAACTTCAAATCACAACAAAAGAAATCAACTGGTATTGGTATTTTTAACTTGAATGAATAAATTAGAGACCTTTAGAGTTCAAGTATGGCCATCTGAACTACTGACCAATTGGATTGATTTTCATTTTTATAACATACCCACAGTTTAAAGTATGTGTTTAACAACCTTGTGGCACAAACAATGGCCATTCTGATCAAAATCACAGGATCAAGAATGTTATTAACTTACCACAATGCCAGTGATGTCTCCAGCCTCAAACCTACTGATAGCCAGCTCTAGAGATTTCTGTAGAGTAGCATTGATTCTCTGTGCAATTAGCCTGTTTAGGTCAATGGAGCGACCTAGCAACTGTACATGTCTTTGTTTCAGTAAAGTCTCGTAACGATTAGCTGCTGGATAACTGAATGTTGTTCCATAACTTGCACATTCAGCTCTGAATCTTTTGTCGAGAAGGATACTATCAAGACAAAATATCATAATAACATCATTAAGATATTATTATTCCACAGAATTAAAAAACAAAAATGCATTTTGATAATATATTACTCAACTTTTGATAGAGACCAAGATTTCTAACAAAGTGGTGTTTCATATTTGATCATTTATTGAATGACTACTTGTGTTAATGCAACTGATACACACAGAATGTGAAAATTCAAAGTAATGAACTAAATTTTTAAACAAGTGATACTTGCAAATAGGACCAATTTCCCAAAAAGTGCCAAGATAGATTATTCTGCAATAACAGCAGAGTTCACTCAAGAAATTCATGTTTTTTTTATGAGATAGACAGTTAGACTGAGATTTTTCTATTGTGTATAAATTACTAAGCTGAATGCATTTAAAAAACAAACAATTTTTATTCAGATGATAAAAAGGAAAGCAGTGCATGTACCCTATGTGAATGGGAAGTCAGTCTTTTCTTCCTTAATTGATTAAAACTTAATGAGGAGAAACCCACTTTTTAGAAAATAAAAGTTTTGAGATAGATTGACTGGGTAATGAAAAACTTTTAAATAAATGTAAGACATTTTGACAAGATTTTGTCATCATCAGGTACAAGTAGTTTACAGAGATACATTAGTATATTTTATATATATATATATATATATATATATAGTATAAAACAAAGAGGTCACATGACTGGATATTGCTTCACAGACTAATATAGGTATCTTGATACCCCAGGGTGTTAATTTAAGGTGGGGCTGTTTTCTTCAATTAAGAAAGTTTCTTTTATTTTGTGTTTATTGATGTTAGGATCTTTGTTTCAGATTACAGTGTTTTGCATGGATATACTGTTGTTTTTTGAGCTGCAATGGTGGTAAACATAACAGTTTTTTTTTTTATTATGTTCAGTGAATCTGGTTTCCAATTTTCTACCTGTTTTTCAGATATAAAATTTTGGACAGTTATTGCATATTATTTTATAAATGATGTTGGAATTGTGTGATTATATGCATTTTTATTTAATAATGATTTTAGTCTTGTGCTGGGTTCTTGGGTGAATTTGATGTCAACACGAATTTTAAGTTTGATGGCAAGTTTTCTCCAAGTGTAATATGTTGTGTTGTTGTTTGGTGTATTAGTGTCAGTTTTCTTTGTGAGTTGAGTTTTGAGGTTTTTGTTCTGACAGTTGTGTGGAAATGTTTCGACGATGGTTAGTGGAAATTTGTTGGTGTGAATGAAGGAATGTTTTATAAAGTTGATTTCTTCATCTACGTACTCAGTTGAGCAAAGTCTTAAAACTGTGTGTATGAGATTTTTTAGGACATTATTTTCTTACTTGGATTTGTGGGTAAATTCCTGAGGATGTAGAGCGAGTGATTTTTTTGGTGTATTATCTGGTACTGTTGAGATTAAGAAAAGACAACTGTTTGTTATGTTCATGTTCAATGGTGAATTTAATGTTAAAGTGAATGGAGCTTATGTTTTCAAGAAAAGTGTTTATGTGTTATATAGAAGTGAAACTAGCAAAAGTATCATCGACATATCTATACCAGTATAGTGACCTCTTTGTTTTATATTGCATTGTTGTGCACAATGCAATACTCCAGGTGCTATAAATTGCACTCCATGAGGAAGAATGCCACATTGAAAGGCTATGACTGGTTCAAGAAGCTCTCAATAATGATCTCTAAGCTGGCTGACTTGAAGTTGCCTTACAAAAATTCTGAAAACTATTGTTCTGTCATACAAAATATTTCAGAAATAAAAAGTGACAGCATGGATTATTTACATTTGAAATGTTCTTGAATATTCTGAATAATGTGGAATACTCTCTAGAATATTCCATGCTACAATATTCCAGAACATGCTAGAATATTCCAGAATAATCTAGAACATTCTGAAACATTCTAGAATATTCAGAACTGTTATTCAACATGGATAAAAGTTGGTGCGAATTCCTTATCTCTATATTGTAAAAAAATTAGAGGGTGAGTGTTTTGTGAATAAAAACATCAAAAATAAGGACCACCCTAACGAGTATTTTATTTTATGTAAAACTATCAAATTTTCACTTCTAAGATTTTGCTTTTGGTTTTTTGAGAAAAAAATCAATGACAAAATGACAACCATTTTAAATTTAGAAGCATATTATTTACAATCTCTTTACATTAAATCAATCATAAAAAATAAGCATTTCATTAATCATCAAGTGGAAAAAGTTGTCACTTACTCATAATAAATTAATCATTAATTTCTGCAAACTTTATAATAACCTTTAAAACAAATATAAAAAAGAAATTAACTTCGTGTGAATAGGAAGTTTTTGTCGAGGTGGTCTTGAGATTTCCATTGTCTAATATCACCCTTTCTCCAATCAGGATTATTCAGCTTTCAAGACCAAATCAATAAACAATAAAGGGTCACATGAGGGGGGTAAAAGTGTACTGGGGAGCCCAAAGGAATGCAACACATTAATACTGTGCAATGGGTGACCATGAAACCCTATCTTTAAAAGCAGGCCAGTTCAGGTTTATTTAACTAAGACCAAAGGGATGGGCAGCTATCCAGAGTAGGTATAATCTGGATTGGGTCTTGTCTAGTAGGTAATATATCACAAGGAAACCTCATGTGGTCTTGTGGAATACCCCATCTCATCAGTGAGCATTTTAGATTCGATTGGCTGCATGGTGTGGATATAAACCTAATTATACCCTGGCAGGCACCACATGCTACTAAAGAATTTACCCAGTCAGAACCAGTAAGGGGTATGGGGAATGGTGATGGGAAGCAGGTGATATCCCAATAAAGAAGAGACGACCAGATTAGGAAGATCATGTGCAATGAAAGTATGCGAGGTAGTACATATGTCAGCCTGCATGATCTCCTCCAACACACAACAAAAGTGAACAGTCAAAGAGAGAGAAAGTTGTCAAATTTGGTGAAAAATTAACTGGAAAAGTTGACAAGAATTCACGTCCAAACAAGTATTTGCTAGATGGATGAGCTTTCTTAACCACTCCATGAGAGTAATGGGAGAGAGATCTTGGGTAGAAGAAGAGTTCAAAGCAATAAAGAGATGAGAGAAAGAACAACAAAAAAAAAACAGTGTGGACCAAATAACAGTGAGCTACCCGAATGTGGCGAAGAAGACAATAAGGATCAGAATGAGAATAAAGGTGAGAAGTGGACAGAAGGGAGATGGGGTGAACACACTGTCCCCTCATGAGCCAAAAACGTTTTTTTTTGGGGATGGGGTGAACACGCTGTCCCCTCATGAGCCAAAAACGTTTTTTTGTTTGGGGAGAAAAGCATGATCAGGATAAAGAAGAATATAAGAAAAATAATTTGTTTATTTGAAGTTAGGCAGAAAGCTACACAATGGGCTATCTGTGCTCTGCCCACCTCAGGTATTGAAACCCAGTTTCTAGTGTTAAAAGTCCACAGACATACCACTGTGCCACTTTGGGGGGGGGGGGACAAAAATACAGATAGGAACGTGGGAAGCAACAATGGCATATATGACAGATCTTATACAACCACGGGCAAAAAGTAGTAAGAAATAAGTTTTAAGCGAAAGGCGGTACAATGAACAACAAGACAAAGGCTAAAAAGGAAGAAGGGTAAGGACACGGAGAACAACATGCAGGTCCCAATCATACAGGACAGCAGGACTTTGAGGATGAAGAAAGCAAAAAAGAACAAAAGAAGACATAAAGGAAAGTTGAGTAGAAAACTTGACAAGAACAGGAAAATCTGAAAGTCTTTGATAGTGTCACCTTGTAGTCAACAACGATTGAATAGTCATGTAAAATATTCACAAAGACTGGAAACAGAAGGCCAGGAAGAGGAGAAAGCCCAAAGCAGAGACCAACTACTAAATATGCACCACTGTCGTTAACAGACAAGTAAATAGGAAGAATGAAAGGACCAAGAAAGAAGGAAAGCTACACATTGAAAGAGTCTGGAACATCTCGGGTGGAAGTCAAGAAAACCCAAGTGAGGTACCAGTAACTGGGAAGAGTCTATTGTAGATGTTGCAAAGAGCCAATACCAAGGGGATAAGGGATTCCATGGAAGCCCTAGAGCCTACAAGAGAGAGAACCTCTCATAAAGTGAGAGAAGGAGAGGATAGGAACAACATGGGCCCTGTGAAGATGCAACTATGCCATTGACCAATCAACCCATACATGCAGCCTCTCAAAGGAGAAGAAGATGGCTGTATAAGGCTTGTTGGGATAGAGACAAAGAGAAAATAAGCATCCAAGACATCCACCTTGGTCATCCAAAGACCCGGGGCAAAAGACCACTACAGGATGATAACAGTCCCCATGATTAATCAAGGGAAGTTGAGAAACCAACAGAAACATGAAAAATACAAGACTTGACATCTATCTACGTATTCTTTGGAAACCATTAAAAGATGTGAATAAAATCCTGGAAGAAGGATGAGAAACCTGTGACAGTGTCTTTAGCCATTAGGTCTGTAACTGCTACATACTGGCATTGACAAAATACAAAATACGAGGGAAAGTAATGGGAACAGAAAACAATGGAGAATGAGAGGTAAAAAATTAAGGGTAAGGGTCTCTAACAGAACTCCCAGTATCCAACAATCAGAAGCAAATGGAGGGAAAAAAATCTGTAAACTGAAATAAATGGGCCCTACTGACACTGAGCCTATTGTGTAGACACTGCCAAGACTAACAGCACTGAGGTCTACCAGCAGTGGAAGGACGGATGAAACAGAGGAACAGGAAGTAGTGAAAGGGAGATGAGAGAAAGCAGGAATACAGAAAACAGAATGAGGCAAAGACAGAGCACACAAGAGATGGTAAACCAGTAAGGTTAAAAAATAACATTGGTATGTGGCTCCAATACGTGACTTCAGCAAAACAAGCACTCCAATAAAGTCACACTAGCAGACGAAAGGAGCCAGATGAAGGCATATGGGATCAAAGGGAGGCAAAAGCATTTGAATAACAAAGGCACCACATCCCAGCAAGCTCTAGCAACAGATCAAACAAATATGAAGTGTTAAGACTGAGGAAGATAAACACACCACCATAAAGAAGATAAGTGAATGAGCATCTGCTGAAAACCCATCAGGAGAATTGTGGGTTACCATGAAAAGAAGGTGAAATGAAAAATAATACAAAAGGGTAAAGAGTGTAAGAATAAGAAGGGAAAACTTAAGTTTAAGAAAGACAAACAAAATACAGAGGATATGACCATCAAGTCTGAAGAAAAAGACTCCAAAGTTTAGGAGCTGAATAAAGGTAATATAGCATGAAGTTATGCCAAGTCATATGAGGTAACAAAGGAAGGAGGACAAGGCATGCATTCATCAAAGTAATGGTAAAAGGAATCAAATATGGACTTACATATCAGAATAGGAAGTAAAAAATATAAAAGTACAAAGCAGGGAATAAATTGCAAAGTGGAGGGAAAAAATATACTGAAAAACTCAGTCTCAAAATGATGAAAAATGCTTAGGTAGATTCAAGACAACATGGGTATACGATGAGGCTAAGGTAAGCAGTGGGAAACAAACCAGCAAAATCTGTCATGAATGAGAAACATAAGTGGAGGTATGTCAGGTGCAAAAGATGATCCAGGCAGCATGAAAGATTCCACCACCCATAGCACAAAAGCCATCACTTCTCCCAATAGACACATATAACCCCGACACCTATGTATGTGCTAGAGTAGCATGAACAATGTCTTGTTTTTTCACACCAGACAAAGTAGAAGTCACTGACACTTACAAAATAATAATGTGAAAATATTGAGTGCAGGAATTGTTGGAAAATAAAAATCCAACAATAAATACTTCCACAACAGGGAATGTCTTTGCAGATACATGCCAAATTGAGAAGTGATGATTGAACAATCAGTATAGAGGGAGCTACCTGCATAAGGAGGGTGTGTTGCACTCCTAATGATGGAGGGTTGTCATATGCTCATTTACATGCTACAGTGTAGCAATGCCACATGGAAACACCTGAGTTTAAGTGGGAGCCTGAAGGCTAGTGGCAAGCAAAAAACTCTGCATATAGAGGGCACCACAAAATAAAAAAAAAGCTCATACGTGAAAAGAGGTATCATATCGGAAATGTATATATATATATTAATTGTGACCAAAACAATTCTGTGAAAATATTTTTTTTCTATCAAAACTATAAGCATGAAATAAAAGTTCACTAAAATTTGCCCAATGCAGAAAATATACAATTGTTCTATTTCTAAAAATACATAATTAATTTTTGTCCCTTTACTTTTTCACATTTATTTTATATATGTAAAAAATCACATTTCTATTATTAAATCAGTCTTTATCATCATGTTTAGATATTAAAACATAAATCTCACTATATACTTAAATACTTACTAAACATTTTATAACTTCACATAAATGATTAAAGATCTCTGACTAATGCTCCAGAAAAACAAGAGCTTACCTTCCTGCTAAGTTTTTGTAATAAGCAGATATCTGTTCACTGAGCTTGTACACAAACTGATCAAAGCATAAGTTGACTTCAGCCTCAACTTCATCATATAAAAACTGTTTCCTGAATTTTGTGAGGGCATAATGAGCACTGTCATTGTATAGGTCCAAAGGATATAGCACACACCTAAGTAACATTAGAAACTGTCATTATATATTTTGAATATTTTATACTTTAAAAGTGGTTTAGTGATCAATGTTGCATTTTTTTTCCACAATTTGAAACAGTTCTTTACCATTTCAGATGTATTGAAAGCAGATTATTTTTAAAACATTTCTTTTCTAAAATAAATTCCTTTTGACACAATGGATAAACTTTTTTTATTATAATTTGGAACATTTGAAGGCAGAGGCCTATTTTTGTGAATTTTCAAAAGTTTTGAGAAATTTTAATGTCATGAAACAATTTAATTTTGTAAAACATGTCACACTTTCATACAAATGACATTAATCCTTTCTACATAGGTCCTGGGTTAAAGGCCATGTCATTGCGTTTGTTGACTCATATTCAAAATTTTATTGAACTACTATTTTATGAATTTATATCAATAAGTTTGGTACCAAACCGTACATTATAATTCCCATTTTAGTATTATACATTATTTAATTTCTTAATGTAAATATTACAAAAACACACCTAAACATTGATCTGTGTGTGTCAACGTTGTATGTTGAATGCAGAACTGGTTCAAATTAGATGTTTGTGATGTCTGACTGATGTTCGTATGACTTAGGAACTCAAATTATTATTATTAACAAGCTAGAATATGAAACAAGAACCTCATACCTTTCCTATTTGCCAAAATATTGCTCACGTAATGAATCAAACACAGTGGCCTCCACTCACCTCTTTCCATTTTTGGAAATGCTCCCTTATGTACATTTACTTCTGTCTATGATATGTGAGTAACCAATCAAAAGTCAGAATATCCCCCTGATGACTTTCTTAGTCATTTTCAAGTATTACGACGTCATCTCATTCTTTCGATAGAAATCTTCAAGCTGGTAAAGTGAGTCTTCATTCTGCTTGAAATTTCATATTTTTTTAGAGCCAAATACAGCTTAGTTATTAAGCTTGATAAATCATTGTGGAACTCTATGGTACCGATATAGTAATTTCAGATTTTTTGGTTATTTCAAATGTATATATAAAACATAAAAAAATTATTTTGTTTCACATCTCCATGTGCACAAATTGAAAGGGTGTAGCAACTTACTTCAAGCAGCAACCGAGTACAAAGGTCGTAATTAGAAGAGATAATTGTTTGCTTAACAAACCTTAAGACTTAATGAAAACAAATTATATTTTGCATATGAAAGCCTTGTAATATTTACTAATAATTTGTCAAAATTTCCTGAACATATGCTCACTATTGTAAAAATTATAGCATGAAAAGTATAATAAGCACAAAATGGTTACGAGGTCGGTCCTAGGGACTGAGCCCATACTAAAAGAGTTAACAAGAGGCCTAATGTTACAAATATTTTCATTTCATATTGATGCCAATGGATATTATACACAGAACCAAGTAAACACAGAATATGAATTAAATGTTATAAGTGCATCACACTGTACATGAGCCTGGTAATAAGAAATGATATGATTGTAAAATACAATGATATGCAAACAAAGTCTAAATTGCTCATTCATTTTGATTTTCTGTGAAAACACTGTAGTCATGCATGGACAAGGTAGCCATATTACTGGGTTGACAAAAAGTTCAAACATCATATGCCAATATATATAAGAAATATGTCAAAATAATCCAGTGGACCTAATATTGTGTAGCATAACATGAAAAGAAAGCCATAACTGAAAATATATTACAGACAGTAAACAGCGGAAAAAAATATAAAGTGTTATTTATGGTGGATAGCATTTTTCTGACTAAATATTACAAAGAAATGTACAGGTATGGTCCAGATCTATTTATTTATCAGATATTTGATAGAAGGCTCTCAGGGATTTTGTTAACTTCTTGTTTTATTTTACTTATTTTGATCTGCACTATATACTTGTTTGCTGCAACATACTAAGACTTATCAAATTTTCCACATGGAGGATGTAAAACAAAATAATTCTTTTAGGTTTTTATATGCATTTTTCAATAATAAGAAATAATAAATCACTATATCAATACAACAGAATCCCACTAACTAAGCTGTATTTGGGGCTTAAAAAATATGATTTTTTTGAGCTCACTAATGTCTTACCTTACTGCTTGGAATTTAGCATGAAAAGAAAGTTTCCCACACAAATATTTTGCAAAGTCTTAGAAAACCACTAGGTGGACATTCTGAACTTTCAATTGGCTATACACACTTCACTAGGTGAAGTACGTGTACATAAGCAAGTATTTTCAAAAAACGGAAGTGGGCAGGGCCATCTTGGTTGATTCAATAAATGTATTAATATCTCATAAGATAGAAAAGATAGGAGATTCTTATCTTATATTATAGTTTGTCAATATCGATAATTTGAGTGTCTACTTTGTAATAAAATACAAACTTTGTATTAGGACATCACAAACTTCTAATTTGAACCAGTGCTGCATTCAACATACCACATGACACAAAAAAATTTATATTTACTTTTAAACTAAGAAATTAACTAATGTAAATAATAAGATTTCAATTATAATCTATAATTTGATACCAAAGTTATTTACATACATTCATAAAATAGTAGTTCAATAAAATTTTGAATGTGAGTTTACAACTGCAATGGCATGGCCTTTGACTCATTACCATAGATAGACCTGTGTCAGTAGGGTTAATCTAATTAAAAAATCAAATACCAAATAGTAAGATGCACACAATAATTAGATGTTTTACAAAAAATCCATAGGCCAGAAATTAGAAGATCAACAAAGACTAAAGATCAATCAAATTAAACTTCTGAAATCTAAGTTGCTGATGACAGTCATGTTACAAAAAGTTGTATTGATAATTTGTTCTTGTATGTTTAAGAAAGTAGTAGAAAACAAATTAGAATTAATGTAAAATTTCACATATAAGATTAGAGACTCCCACTTGATTGATTCCTTCTAAAGGACTTTGAACAAATATATCTTTAAAATAGTAGTTAATGGATATGTGCGATACAAATGTATAATTGTTATTAGCATAAAATATAGCAATATACACTCCATCTTCCCTAATTTTGTTAATTTGAACATTCTTAAATAACTACAATTTGACTGCTAACAGATATCAGCTTATATTTTTTAATAATTGCATTCAAGTAATGTCCAAAAGCATGAAGATGAAGTGATTTTTATTTCTAAATTTTATACAACTGAAAGTTCAATTTCTTTGTATTTTGTAATTGTTTTTTCTGCTAGTCTGTTACTTCTGACACTCCAATAAGATGGCAACCATTGCATATGATGACACCTATATACAGTAGCCCCTACTGAATATGACCCTTTCAAATAATGACTCCCTTTCAGATACAACTTTTTCTCTGTGCATGGAACGATTTTACATTGATCTGACTTCCAACAAATGACTTTATGACAGATGTGACATATGACAGTGATTTGTGGGCGGAAGGTTGAAAATGACCTCTCTATAGAGACTTTTCTTCATTTCAATAAAAATGTATAAACATGTGCTTGTTTATTTGATTTTATGTGTACATGTATGTACTATAATCTGAATCGGTGATGACCCAACTGTAGTTTGTTGATGTCTGCAACAAGTGAGTAATTAGATGCCACACCACACAATGCAAACGAATATGAAGTGTGGGAAATTTTCATATTTTATGTAATACTTTTCAAAATACGAATATCTCTACATCAATTATTCAGTGTGATCAGAAAAATTAATAATTTCAATAGCAATTAGTGCTTGATTACACCAGTTGACATGTAAACGTTTAGACGAGTAGTGCACAACTGGCCATGAAAATGAGACCATCACACAAGCTGGGATAACCCTCACCCTAATCAGAATGAGCATTTTTACAAGATGTCAGATAATGCATCTTGTATGTAAGTAATACTCCCAATGAGTAGATAATCTGCACCTTGTTGAATAAATGTGACACATATCAAGCACACAAAGATGAAAATTTTTTTTAGGTCAATTTGTCATATTTTATATATATGAAATAAAAATATGATAGATGTATGTTTTATGAAATCGAGATGTGATGAATTATGAAATAAATGTGATTGATGAATAAATTATTTTACATAAGTTACCTCTATTGAACTATTATCCATCTTAACTATTATTATATCAATTTGCTATGTCATCTAATTATCTATACAATATATAAACCATTATGCTCAATATGGCAATAATGACTGGCACAGCTTGAACTCAGTCATTCGTTATCTGGTTTCTGATCCTTTGAATAACAACTTCCTGTCAGCTAGGACTTTTTTATCCTGGCAGATAAGATGGACAACTGTATTAGCTGACTTAGCAATCTAGCACCTTTAGTGCTATATAGTTTGGCAAAATACCATTTGCAATAACAAGCACCATTTGACTTTTTCTTTAAATTTTCTTTACCCCAGAAAGAAAACAAAGAAGGAATATATAAACAATTTTTATCAAACTTTTCCACCATTTTTTTTTTTTCAGATAGCATTAGTAACTATTTCAATTCTCATAGATATGATTAAAGCATTATTTTCCATTTTTCTTTGACGAATGTTAATACATACGAACAGAAATAATCTGAAATAAGTTTTATTAATTCATTTAAGGCTATCTTTACCTTGCATTAAATTCCTTCACCTAATTCACTTCTGTATTCAATATGAATACTAGTGATTGTTTTTTTCAGTAATTTATGTATAGTTTCCTTTTGTTCCTTATATGATACATTCTTACTTTTCCTAAATAAAAGTGTAGTATACATAATCTTCAATATTTTCTTAGTTTATATTTAAAACGTTTTATTTTGGCATTTTTGAAAATTCAATATGTTTACATTTATACTTATGCATATTTTATTATTTACTGTTATACTTTTAAATAAATTACGAAATAATCTGAATATAATTTAATTTCAAGTATAATCCCATAAATGTACTTTTTCATTATTTAAAATTTCTCTTCTGCAAGTATCATTTGGCTATGATATATTTTGTAAAAACACCATTTAACAGAAAGAATTTTAACAAGTTATTTCAGTTTCTTTTATACATATATATATATATATATATATATACATACATACATACAATAACAGACTATTTAGTTTATGCAAAAAGCTGCAAAATGAGCTATCTGTGCTATGCTTACCACAGAAATCTAATTCTGAATTTTAGCATGGTAAGTCCTCAAGCTCACAGCTGAACTACCAGGGTACAATAACAGATGCATACTCCATATTTTTCATTTAAAACTTTTCATTTTGTAGAAATGTACTCAAATAAATATTAAATACATACATATAAACTAAAAAATTTTAATACATCCACATAAAGGGACATAATTATATAGTGTGCTGGATTGAAATATTAAATGAATAAATTGACTTACTCCATCATAGAAGCATCCTTTGTCTTCAAAATGTGGTCAGTTAGTATCCAAGGAAGAGACATTTCTATGGGAAACTAAAGAAACCTTTTTTCTAAGTTGTAAAAATTAAAAAATTATGTTTGTTTAATCCCATTACAAATTTACATCATGTGATATAACTAACACCAGGGGTTTCACATATTAGATTATTGCATTTTCAAATCTTTATGCATCTATTCAGCAAGATGAATGCACCTGCAGCTTCTATGGAGTTTATGGAAAGTGCCCATTTAAGAGTACTGTATGTTAAACTGGTATATGTGCCTAAAATTGGAAGTGCAATCATTCTATAATGAACATTATTTCTTCTATGCACATTATCTAACATTCACAAAGTTTGCCTTTATTCTGAAATAAAAACTAACAGCATGAATTAATAAACATAGATAAACATAAACTTATTTTTATAGGTTTAAAAATATAATTTCTTTATGACTGCAAGTATGTACATTACATATTAGTTTATATACAAATTCAAAAAACATTAGGTGCTTACATTAGATGACTTATTACTAATACCTAGTCTTCTTAAGTTAGATTTATCTAATGCAGTGGTTTACAAACTGTGTGTTACAGTAAGTTGCTAGGGGTGTCACAAGAGTTTCACCGAACAAATAATAATTAAGAACATTAAAAAAAAAATTTACAAACACAATATTGCATGTAGCAGCAGGGGTTGTCACACAAATCAAGGTAAATGGGTTAAGGTGACATAAGTGAAAAAAGTTTGGGAACCACTAACCTAATGTAAAGTTTTACTGATAAGTTAAAAATAAGTATTTTTCATATAACTATGCAACATCACAGGCAAGCACTATAAATATATGTTTATGGTATCAGTAATATACTTTTCTTGATTACTTAAGTGTCAAACACATTTATTTCATACAAAACTATTATAATTGTTGGGCCTTCTCTCTGAATTTCATTACAGACATTCAGATGAAGCAAACATATTGTACAAACATACATGTACATTTTTAGAATGAATAATGCTTTATCAAAATTCAAACATGAATTCTGAACCAAAGTGATTGCCTTATGATATGCTGCCATACCATGTGATTGCAAGCTAACTTATCACTGTCACCAATTTGTTAGCATTTACCATTAAAGCCAACATCAGCATGAAATTTAGCATACTCGTTGATATTACACCATTCCATAGCTTAAATTTTATTAAATTCAAATATCTTTACCAATTGTCTTGTTATGAGTCTAATTATCACTAATGAGGGAATTAATTAAAATTAATTGCCCATAGCTCATTAACATTGCAGAAAATTTGCAAAATTTTTAATTCAAGCTATGAGGATGTTCACAAAGAGCATGTGTATCAATTTTCACCATTTTTATCATTCCTTAGTAACGTTATGGTGTTAAAACAGTTTATGTTATGTATTTCTTTATCCAAACACCATTAATTATGCATATGACATATATGACTGAAAGTGTTCTTTCAGAGATTGCAACATCATACTTTTGTTTTGTGCTCAACTTGAAGGTTATAAATGTTTAACAGTGCTTCCTCAGCATGTACATTTGCCAAGTTTTAGAGTCAGTGCTACCTTAATCTTGTCTAATTACTAATACAGTATAATAAATAATAGTAATTCATGAGTGCTATAAACAATAGAAATTCTATAAACTTTTTATAAAAACCTTAAATGTTTTGAAATAAATGTTTTTCTTCATAGAATTTGTGTTTACATACTGACTTTCTTACCTGAATTCTTTTTCCCATTGTCATCTCCAGATAAAATTCTCGATACCAGAGTTGAGAGAGGTCACAACACTCTTGCAAGACTTCTATGAACAAAATGTATGAAAGAATAATTATATACAAATAAAGAGGTTCTGAAAAAATAATTTTGGTATTCAGAATTAGTTGAATGACAATATTAATCCTAATGCCCAGAACATCATTATAATATGACAGGCCTACAACTGTCTAAAACAAAAATTATGAACCATGATGGTTAATGACATAGAAAATTTTCAATCATTAAACGTTCAAAACTAATGAGCTCATTTATACATCTTAATTTATACATTTTCAACAAAAAACAATGTGATAAGTACTACCAAGCATATCAAGCCATTACATAGCTAATTTGGTGTGGGAATTTTAAATTCAAGGACTACTGCAAAGCGAATGAATGCCATACCTTAGCCATGCTATTACAAGAACTTGCAAGCACTAATAACTGTTATGGGATAATATCTTCACAACTGCATTGCCACAATTCATTATATATATAGTTTTGCTTTCATTATTCTTTATTTTAAGTTCTTGATCATGAAATCATAAGGCTAAATAGTAGAGTTTAATCCGAGAGACATATTTCATATATTACAATGATACTTAGAACACATATTAAACTGCATAACACAACAGCTATGGTCATAAAATCAAGAGTACCTTAAAGAAAAACTTACTTGGTTATTCTCTGCCTTCATTTTGTGTATGAGCAAATTCTCTTTTATAAAAAGGCTCTGTTCATAATTGACCTTTGTAAGATCCTAAACCAATTTCAGTGAACAGCTACAACACACTCACCAAGGGCATATTCTAGTACACTTGATCTATTTTAAAATTACATTACATTTTCCTTCACAGGAGTTAAGAGCTTTCTTATAGTAGAACCAATATAACTATGCTGACAGCAACGACAGAAAATTTATAAACAACATTTGAAAATTGATGGAATACAATCGTTGGATCTAAAAAAATACTCTAAGTGGCAATCAGGTATAAAAATATATCTTCACTGTATTTGAGAATATGCCCTACAAAGTATGTTTAGTAACTGACTTTTAAACTTTGTACTTAGGTGATTTAGTAAAATTTTGCTTGATGAAATAGTTGCAAAGTATTTGATCAATAACATGTAAGGGAAAACCATATTTTGCATAAGAGTTCTTTCATTTCTTTCATATTATTAAATTTCTTAAGCCAAAATTCATAAGTACTTGAAGTTCTAAAGGCATGATGAATTAAGATAACAGTCAAATTTTACTTAAATACAGTTGGTATAAAGCTTGCGGAGTTAAAATACAAACCACTGAAAGTTTGTATTTTGGTATGCTTAAAATTTGAAATTACCATTACTGTTACGAATCAATGTACCCAAAAGTGAGAGCTTATGATATTGTTGGTGCTCAACAGTAAATTTTACATTTTTATGTTTGCTGTTTAAGTATTCCAAAAATAAGACATGATCAAAATTTACTAAAGTTGGTGAAATCATCATCTATACATCTACGGTAGTATGGTGATTTAAGAGTCTGCAAAAAGTCTTCCAGCCATTCCTTTTCATGATAACAGAGAAAAATATTGGCCAAAGAAGGAGCCAAAATAGAACTCGTAACAACTCCATCAGTTTGATCATAAATACTGTCATTAAACAGAAAATGCAATCCTTTAGGTTAACATTTTCCTAAACTGAAAACATATTTCCAATAATACTTATCTACACTGACACTATAGCTATTTCTCAATCTTCAGGGTTTCCTTTCTTTGCCCATCCAAACTCTGAAAACGCTTGCTTCAGTCTTTTCTACTCCACTCAAATGCCCTTGGCAAATTCTAATTTGCAAAATTCTCCACCAACTTCAGTGTGCCCTCTATCTAGGTAATGTATATAAGCACCCCATTCAGATAATGTAATTAACTTTTTTGAGATATAAGCCAGCTTTTAGTGTGGAGGTAGGGCAGGAGAGTGCCAGTGGAGGTAAGTATTATTGGAAATATATTTTCAGTTTAAGAAAATGTTAACTTCCAAAACATACTTACCTCTGCTGATGCTATAGCTAGAATCCCACACTGAGGAGGTGGAGGGGCCAGTGCAAGCATGAACCATATATAAAATGTCTGTATAGACTGGAAGTGCACCAAGATAAAGATGGTACAAGATTGGGGGAACCACACTACATCCACAACAGGTATGCTCTTCACCAGGAACTCAGTTCCTATATGTGGAATAGAATACAAATAATCATCAGTATAGGCCAGCCCCAACCAGACAGCCAAGGTTCCAAAACTCGGGGTTGGAATTAAGAGGTCATATCTCACATTGGTGACTAGGGTTATTAGACCACAATGTTACATATACTTTTGATTGGATCCCAACCTGTTGCCATAGTGTGATGCATTTCACACCACTGGAATTACGACAAGAAAGTAAGCAACACCAAAGTGAACAAACTTTCTCCTCCATCTAGGGAAGTCCAAAGGTAATATCACAGGCTCAGAATAATGGGATTGTGTATGCCATCTTCAACCAAAGGAACAAAACTCATCTGGTCAGAAATTATGAACATTTATCCTCACTCCCCAACCAAGTGGGCAAGGAGGATTCTGCTTGCCCCTGGAATTATGGAAAAGGTGTGAAACCTGTGCTCAACAAAGGACCTAGGATGGGACCACTTCGCATTTGGAATTATGAGGAGATAGTGGACTTCCTTCCATGAACATCATACAAACTGACATTGATAAATAAGAAGGGCCAATTGGATAGCTTCGTGTCAAATCTGATCTGAACTGGAATTAGCAGTAGGCTCCCATGAGCTACTCCTACTGACATCTGGGAAAACATTCAGGAACCCGAGTAGGAGGGCCCCAACTTTGCTCTCTTCTTCAAGAGTAGAGGAACACACTCAAACACTCTGGAGGAAAATCCTCTGTCCACCACTCCAGCAACTGGAAACTGAGGGTGGTAAAGACTCCTGAGCTCCATTAGTAGCATCTTGGGGGGGGGGGCACATTGGGGAATCTTGAGGAACAGTGCAATAGGTGAACCAAGTTCCCTACATTTTTAAAGGCAAACTGACCCTGGTTTATTCAACCTGAAGATCAGCATGAATGGACAGGATCCACTTTAGCTTTACTCATGATAGTCCATGAGTGGCAGTCCATGATAATAAGCCAATACCATCCGGTAAGCACCTAGATGGTTTTATGGAACACCCCATTTTGACATAGCCTGTTGCAACCTTTAGTAACTATAGTGAAAGTGGTTGCTAGTGCAGAATTGAAAAGAGAAAGTATACCTGTCTGGGCAACACTTGCCACAGAGTGGGATCCAGTGAAAAATAAAGGGACCCTGAAAATAAAAGAGTATATGATTGAGGAAATACTCACCTCTGATTAAAATCTAACAGATGTGGTCAAAATAGCTACAGGGGGTAGTCAAAAACCCTCAGAAGAGGAAACTACCAGATCATATAAGTAATGAGGTAGGAAAGTATCAGTAGTAGACCACATACCAGCCTGCACAATGTCTTCCAGAGTGAAATTCAACTGGGCAGCTAATGACATAGAGATATGACAAATCTGGTGAGATGAGACATGTAAAAAGATTCCTCTCCTGTAACGATAATCCATTGTAGGCTATGTGAATCAATTTATGAAGCCACCTTGTTAGAGTAATGGGAGATAAGTCACAGGAAATAGAAGGATTCCAATGAATGAACAATCAATTCCTACTACCTTAAAATGAGTTAGTAGGAGCTATATTACACCTGAGGGCTCAAACAGGACTTAAGAAACGATCAGGATCGGAGCGATCATAAAGGTGAGAAATGGCTGGCAAATGAATTGGTGAGAAGGACCTTTCCCCTTCCCTAGCTTCCAGAGTCTTTGGAAGAAAAGACCTGTCAGTATAAAGCAGGACAAATGTGGAATGATAAAGAGTCCAATGCACACGGATTGCAAACAACTCTGACTGATGTTGTCCACAAGCCAACATAAACAAAAAATACAATTTAAGAGAAAGGTGAAACAAAGAACATGAAACTAAGGGCTCATAGGGAGGATGAGACAATGCATGTAAAACAACTGTAAAATCCTAATTTGGTAATGGAAAAGGCCATTTAGGTTAAAGAATATGAAAGGATTTGAGTAGACCTGATAGTACTGAGGATTTAAATACTGAAAAATAGTGGATAAGGATGCCTTATATAAAGCCAGTGTATATGAAGCAAGACAACTCAAATACCGAAGTCAGAAAATTAGATATAGTAGATACTTTAGGATGAAGAGGGTTTACCAGTGTGGAAGAGGTAGAGGTGGCCATTCCTGCAGATACCAAAGAAGTGGAAACCATGTTTGAACTGGCCAATATGGTACAAGCAAGGTAACTCGACAGGTAGTGGAACAAACCATAGTCAGAACCTGAGGCCAAACCCAATTGGGGGAAAGGCATATTGATGGAAATCTGTCCAGTCTTGACTGAACACATCTACTGCCAATGCTTGAGGATGAGATATCAGAGATCAAAACAACTGCAGTTGAGGATTCCAATGAGCTACAAAGGCATTGATCATTAGAGATCCGAACTGAGAGCAAATCCACTGAAAAACCTTGTGATATAGCATCCATTCCATCAGAAGAATCCAGTTGGGTCGAGACAAGTGTTCTGCAATTAAATTCATCACTTCTGGAAATATGAAATGCTAAAACACTGATATGATGGGAATGAGCCCAGTAGAGAAGATCCAAGGTAGGACAAAAACAAAGGTCTTGAGAATGTGTGCCTCCTTGATGAGAAATCTGAGAAACCACCATGGAATTGTTGGAATGTATCATGACAATGTATCAAGAGAGACAGACATTGAAGCATAGCCCAGTGTACTGCAACGATTTCGAGAACATTGATATCGAAGGTAGAGTCATCTTCTGTCCAAATACCCTGGAACTCCTGACCTTGAAGATAAGCTTCCTATCCCTGAAGAGATGCATCTGTAAACAGATGGATCTCGGGAAAAGGTGGTGAAATAGGTACCCCAATAGTAGTGTTGTTCCAATC